TGTGTGTGTGTGTTTGTGTGTGTGTGTGTGTGTGTGTGTGTGTGTGTGTGTGTGTGTGTGTTTTTGCTTGTCTGATTTTAGTGAAATTCTCCCAACTTAACCATTGAATGTGTGTCTACTAACTGTTTATTTTTAAACTCAGTCATTTATCAGCCAAAGATGATTTTAATCTAAAACTGTGGCATGAGAGGAAGTGCATTCAAGGGATCCTTATTCTAAATGTTTATCTGTTTTTAAATCTAATTCTAATTTATATGGAAAACCAAAACTGACATAAGAAATTTCCAGCTTAGTTCCAATAAATTATGTATTTTAGCACATAATTTACATTTTACTGTTTTTACTTTTTACGTGTACATGCATCTGTGTCTAATTAACATTTTACTGTTTTTAAAATTATGTATATTTTATGTTTCCTTTTACTTGCACATCTTTGTCTCTTAAATGATTATATTTAATTATTTTATTTATAAAAGTTCCCACAAGTCTTTTTATTTCCACGTTGCTTTTACATTTCTCCGTCTCCTGTATTTACACTACTTTATGCATTTCTGCCTCATTATGCAAATAAGATGGGCGGAGCTTCTTGGGTCAGCTGTTGTTCCACAGACAGGAAGGAGCAGGATCCATGTGCAGATCTACTGTGCATGCTTGTGCTGCCTCAGTTTAGCTTAAATTCAGTGTTTAGTTAAAAATAAAAGCATAGTGTTTTCTTTCCTGCCTTTGTTTTAAACTAAACTTTAAGCTAAACCAAGGCAGCACAAGCATACATAAACACTCATCCAGCCTTTTTCTTGTTACATATCAGCTGGTGTCTGCCGGGGACAAGCTGTAAGTCCATCTTATGGCTGATGTTTCTGCAGGAAAAGGCTGAAGTCTGACTTATTTCTCTGTATGAGACCTATATCAGATTTCTACAGAGCCCGCTAGGGGACATGGGAGATATTTTTTCTTTTGCGTTCCCACGCAATAGTATTGACACTATTAGACCACTATTACCCAAAGTGGGGTCCCGAAACATCAAGGTGGGATCCTGAAAAGATTTTCTGAATTAATTACATTTTTGCCTTAGTTGTTACAAATGAGTGAGGTTGGTGTGTTTAAAATGGATAAATGTAGTATAAACATATTGTTACTATGCCCATGTTTAGTTGACCTGATACAAATGTTTATCATCCAAACATAGCTGGGGCCACATGTCTCTGCTGCTGTTATTATGTGGGTCAAAAGCTGAAAAGTTTGGGAACCACTGCACTTTGGTTCCCAAAGTTGGGCTTGGGACCCAATTATGGGTCATGAAGCACCTTGGATAATCTCCAGAAATCAATTTAAAGGGTAATAAAATAATTGCTGATGTAATATTTTCCCTATAATTATTACAAAAACACAAAATAAGTAAAATTAAGTATGTATATGTGTGTACAAGCTGTTTAGATTGTCAAAAAGCCTGTGTTTTTAGGGTTATTAACGAAGTTCATGTACTCAGACCAGTAATATTTGGGGTCACAAGTTTTTGCCATGGATATTTTGTGGGTCAGAAGACAAAAAGTTTGGGAACCACTGATTTAGAGTCACCAATTAATGTACATATTTTTGGCCTGTGGGAGGAAACTGAAGCACATCCTACAATCCCTGCTTAAATGTTTCCCCACTTTTACTGAGTCCACCTGTACAAAATTGCTCCAATAGGACTTGACTTGGAAAGACATACAATTCTTTATAGAAAGCCTCCAAGCTGATCATAGATAAAAATCAAACAATCAACCATCCCAGAGGTAAAGAATGACTGCAGCAGCGTCATGCTTTGCAAACATTTACGTTGACCAACCAGTTTTTCTCCTAAGCTGTTTGGTTTTTAATTTTTGAAGACTTTTAAAAATGTAACTAAAAGATGCATGTAAAAAAAAGAGAAGAACTCTCTTTTTATGTTTTCCCCTCTTCTCTGGTAAAGTTGTTCTTTCCATCGTTGCTTCGTCTTTCTGTGGTCGTCTGTGTTTTTGATGCCAGTGGATGTTTGGCCGAAGCAGGACAATCAATGAGAGCTGTGTTCTCCTCATTAGCAGGGAAAACCCCGAGTTTGCCTCTCACACATACTGCAGACTGCAGGTGCACACACACACACACACACACACACACACACACACACACACACACACACACACATGTAATTTGGTCTCACATTCTGACTTGTCCAGATGTGTGTCTACGCTCAGAACAGACTTCTGCTGTTTCTTGCACTCAGAGCTGATTTTTTTTTTCTTTTGAATTTGGGTGTGGTGAATATATGTATGCTTTGCTTTTCAGTTTAATGGTTTTTAGAATTATTTAAAACAATTTGTCTCATTTGATCTCAAGCAATCTGGAGTATTTGGTGTAGCTATGTTGATTACCATGTAAATTCCAAGTTACAGTAGAAAACAAAAGTGTCAAAGGAGGAGAAAATTTGTGCAACCCTTTTTTTACATGTTTGTCTGCCAATTTCTGCTCAGCTTTTAACAGCTTTTATTGAAATTTTCCAGGGATGTTCACCTACATGAAGGACTCACGCTGCCATTGGTTCAGTAGCTGGAACTGTGACAACTACTCTGAGTTCCAGATGGTTGGGACTGTATCCTTTTTAATCCTAAAATCTGGTCTATTTACATTTTATAGCAAGTTTTAAGACACTTTGCATCCATGTCTGTTACCTGTCTTTAAAAACGTTCCAGTTAGCAGTGAAGCCCCACCTTGCAGCTCCTCCAGTAGCTTTGTAAGACCAAACATGGAACACTCTTTGGAATAAGGTGCTGACATTGGTTCTCATTTTAATACTTTTTAAAAACTTTTAATATCTATTGTTTTTACATAATCACAGTTTGTTTTACGATTTTTGCCAGAAAATGTTGAACTTAGAATTCTGATGTGGCCCATCCTATTAGGGCTGTCCAAATGTTCCAAAAGACTTTGCAAACAAACTGTTCTTACTTTCACAACCGTTGTACTTCTTGTACAGTTTATACGATATGATGATGTCAGGCAGACGTCTATCTGAGTCGGCCCATCAGTGTGAGCAACCCATACCTTTTTTGGGAACAGTTTCCTGTCTTGAAGTTGCCCCCATTTCCATTTTCTTATCCATCTTTAAATGTAATCTGCGTTTCTTTTTTTCTTGGACGTTTTGTGTTTTTTGTTGCCATGCAGTGCCCTTCTGTGAGTCATTAAGTAATGAAATGTATGAAGTGGAGCCTAAATAATGCAGCTTTATGCAAAACTTGTAAACTTTACCTTTAACTTTGCAGTTTCTAAAATCCCAGAATTGTTTTTTTTCAATGGTGTCAATGTGTGCACATGTTCCACTGTGTGCGTGTGTGTACTTGTTTTTACTACAGAGTGAGGACCATTTGCGCCATAGTTACCATCAAAGTCAGGTCTTTGATGTAAAGTGAGGACCTCTTCAATGTCCTCACTTTCATTGCATCTCTGCTGTGCTTTACTTGTTAGGTTTAGCTGCATGATGTGGATTAAGTTTTGGTTCAGGTTAGAGTTAGCTATAAACCAGTAATGGTTAGTTTTAGGGAAAATATCTGGGTTAGGCATAAATACAGTTAACAAAAATGAATGGAAGTCAATACAATGTCCTCAGTTTTATGCAAGTACAAGGGTGTGTGTGTGTGGGGGGGGTATGGCTTTGGTGACATTTGGTGGCAATTTTAAGACAAAAATCCTGCCTTTGGGGACAACTGGTGCATTTGGGGACAAAAATCAAGTTCCAATTTGGTTTAAATGCCGTTGGTGGGTTGGGGGTTGGGTTTAGGACCAAGGTGTGAATTGAGTTTAGGTTAGTTTTAAGGTCAGGTAGGTACCTGTGAGGTTAGCCTTAGGGTTTGTCGTCAGGGTTAGGCTGTAAAAATGTAGTGGAAGTCAATGGAATGTCCCTGATTAGATAGCTGTTTAAACTTGTGTGTGTGTGTGTGTGTGTGTGTGTGTGTGTGTGTGTGTGTGTGTGTGTGTGTGTGTGTGT